CAGTCATTACTCCCTTCAAGCGCCGAAAAGATCTCAACGGCTGTTTTTACCTTAGCCAAATCATTGAACTTTTACCTCAACAAATTTCCAGAATTCCCCAACCAAAAGCGCTTTGCGGATAAGGAAAGCAGATTTGGAATCAGCGTTTTATGCTCTATAAGATAGTATACATTTCATATGGAAATGCCACTTCGACCAAATATCCTTCCCTTGTAATTTACCCGAGAATTAGTTGGACGAACGTGGAAAGCTATCACATGAATCTGAGTTATTGGTTGCTGGTGAAGTAAAAAAAAATCGGATTGTTCTGTGCACGGTAGAAAGCTACTGTAGAAAGCTGTGCAGATTACTATCTTTACCCTTATAGTGAAATATCTAGAGACTCTACCTTGGCTGTAGGTACATTCTTGACACGCCACACTTGCCGCATTCATCAACAAACCCTGAGGGTAGACCTTACCCTCAAGGGTAGGTTTTGTTTCACCCTTAGGGTTTAATGGTCGTATTCATCAAAGAACCTTGAAATTATAATAGAGTTTAACCCGGAGAGCAATTAACCTGCATCAATCAACAAACCTTGAGGTAAATCCTACACTTGAAGGTGAAACTTACCCCAGAAAGCGATTAACCCGTATTTACAAACGCGGCTCATCAGAGGTAAATTTAACCTTAGCATAAAGCAAGATTAGATCCTCTCTGACACTTTGTGAAAACACCAAGTAATCTCTTGATGCAATATCAGATTCCTAGCAATACTATTACAGTAAACACATAATGTTCACTACTATCTTAAAGCTCCTATATCCTTTCGTGTTTTTCTTTTCAATATTGTCATCCGGTATTATATTCGGGTCGAGTGGTTATAGTAATAAGATTACATTTGAGTGAAGTACATGTCCAACTAAGGCTTTGACATAGCGACCATCGAGCTCAATAACTCGGAAAAATTCTTATGATATGGAACTCCCGCATTCAAATTTTAGTCTATTAATCAATCACTAAGTGTTCTGAAACATGGCCAAACTATCCAACAAGAAAATGCTCAGAAGGCGAAGTGGCCAATCCAAGCAGGCTACCTACCATACGATGCATCATTCAACGCTAACTGATTTTGAATCTGTAGTCCTTATCTGCTTAGCGCCTCTGTGGACGAAGTTATGGGCAGTTTTATCGCTAACATGGAAAGGATACTTGGTCGAAGTGGCGTTTCTATATGAGATTTATATCTTCTTATAGAACATTGAACACTGATTCCAGATCTGCTTTCGGTATCTGCAAAGCGCTTCTGGGAGAGAAGTTATGGGAATTTTTTGATGTAGAAATTCAATGATTTAGCTAAGATAAGAATAGGTGTTGAGGTCTTTTCGGCGCTTGAAAGGAGTAATGACTGACATAAGTTTATTAGATTGAAGGGCCTTATTCCATAAAACGCCCTGGTAGTAATCATAGCCCCATTTGAACTCGCAGACAAAGGTTCCGAATGTTTTTATTGTAGCGGCGCATTCAAATTTTTGCATCAAAAAATTTCCATAACTCCCCTCTCAGAAGCGCTTTGCAGATAACGAAAGTAGCTTTGAACCCAGCGTTTCATGCTCTATAAAACAGTGTACATTTTATACGTAAACGCCACTTCGACCAAGCATCCATCTCTTGTAAGAAATCGTACATGAAATTTGCGAAACTAAGCACATTGTCGCAGCTCACCTTTGAGCTTAAGGAATAAATTACCTAGCTGCTTGTTTCGGTAGAGAATTTAGCCGAACAGGCTGACTGCCAAGTATTATTTTGCATGCACAATTTCTTAGCAAAATAGGCTTTTAACTCTCATAACTTCGCCCACATGCTCCTAAGAAGATATGGAATACAGATGCGAAGTCACGTTTTATGCTACTTGTTTAGATTGGCCACTTCGATTTCTGAACAATTCCCCTCTAAGCTCAATGAGATAAACTTGAAGAAGTTGGCCAACAAAGTACTAAAATCCTTATCACAATTTTATAATATGATTAGACGAGTGGAAAAGAGGGCTTAGAAAAAATGAGATGTGCATCGAGGGATCACTTTATGTTTGTACGAAATTTCAAAGTAATTTTAACATTGCTTTAAGATAGGGTCAAATTTGCCTTGCCTTGATAAGCCACGTTCGACACGGGTAAATCTTCCCTTCTCAGACAATCGACCGGACCCCTCCGCCGGACAGTCCGAATCTGCCAGAGTCGCGCCGGACCCAGTTGACCAATGAGAGAGGGGCAAATGGGCGGTCCGTCGCGGTGACATCACTGGCAGGCAAGTGGGAGGCTTCTCCGGCCCTGCTGCAAAGGTACGCCATTTCTCCGGCGCGACTCTGCCAGATTTGGCGGACTCGCGCCGGAGAAATTTGCCCGGCGCGAGTCCGCCAGATTTGGAAGAGCCGCGCCGGAGAGAATCGGAGGGGTCCGGAGCAGAAATGGGAGATCTCCGGAGCAGAAAATGGGAGGTATCCGGAGCAGAAAATGGGAGGTATCCGGAGCAGAAAATGGGAGGTATCCGGAGCAGGCTGCGTATCGATTTGGCGCGTAGCAAGCAAACGTCTAACTCCACGGTGATGAGTCCTCTGTTTACGCTCTTTCTCCATATTTTAGTGGTCGTTTCTTTGATTTTGTTGTTTTTTCGCCTTTCTTTACCGTTTTTTTCTTTTCCGCGTTGCTCTTCGTAGCGTTGGCGTTTATGTTGTTGTAAGTTCCTCGTTTTCAGGTTTATGTTTCAAATTTTCGTGCGGTTGCACTCAATCACTTTCAGTGTTTGGCTCTTTTCGACTTGCTGAGACATCGTAGACTATTGATGGAGTGGTTTTTGTGATTAATTCTGGATTTTCGAAACAATGAGGTTAATTGCGCAACTTTCAAACCAGTGTTTGCTAGCCAGCATGGAACGAGGTCAAATTTACCCTGTATTCTTACCTTAATCTAGAGCATTTGCATCACCTCAAGGTAAATACTGTAGAGGAATTCATCGCACGTAATAGGCGTCACTGCGGACGCTGTCGGCGTCTCGCTGATTGAGCGCTCTTTCGTACCTCTTGCCGTCTGCTGTCTCTCCCATGCACGAATTATCTTGGTCGGACGCAATGACGTCCAGTCTGTGCATTTGATAAATCGCCTATACCTTTGGTAGTGTAAGCGGGTTGATGGCTTTTTGGATCGATTTATACCTCAGATGTGTCTTATGCAGCTCGAAATATGCGTAATTGATTGTGTCTGTCTTGTGCATGATTACGAGTATGCGCACTGGAAGTATAGTTTAATCCTTAATATATGTTGATAGATACGGACGCAGAGCCTGCTGTTTTGATAGAGGTTTTCGTCACATCTTTATACCAGCTCAAAGAATCTTTGCGCACTTGGACGTTTTATTGCACACAATTCATCTTGAGGATATCTCCCGTAATGTCATCATTTCATTATCATGACATTTCAGGACACGGGATCCTGCTGTACTTGCCAAGTGCGATGTTATCGTTGACGTGGGAGGTGTATACGATCATTCGAAGAAACGATACGACCATCACCAATTGTAGGTCTTGCTTTGCATGCTGTTAAGTTTGAGTCTCCTACAGTCATGAAGATCACACAATTAATGTTAGTAATTCCAAAATCGTGCTGTTTTCAGAGAGTTCAATGAGACGATGCAGACATTTGGGCCTGGATTCTAACACTAGACTCAGTTCAGCTGGATTGATCTAGGCCCATTATGGAAAACAACTGATTGCAGAGGTAAGCATTGTCAGTCAGGGTTAATCTTTCTTATTCAGTTTATTATCGTCAGATACTTGATTCCTTTCACGACCATAAGATGGTGTATATATTTTTTCGAAAGCTTTACGAAACGTTTGTCGAAGCCATAGATGCTATCGATAACGGCATACCGCAGTATGATGGCACACCCAGGTAAGAGGCTTGTCAGTATCCATTTATATCTTGCTTGAAGTTTTATTTTTTTCGAATAACGTTTTGGATGAGAATTATGCTTTAATCATCAACATACTGTATGCTGATTTCTTCCTATCTATATTGATTTGGCTGTGTGGTTTTGCTGCTTCAACATATGACTTTGAAAATATCAAACATCTGAGGCGGTATGCATCAATCTCGCGTTTTGAAAGCGGGCGATCATTTTCAATAGTAAAATGATTGCCCGGCCGGGTTGGCCGCCCGACCCGTAATGTACGAAGCTGCGGCCAACCCGGCCGGGCATTCATTTTTTATTGGAAACTAGTTGACTTTCCCGGTCCAGCCCGGGCCTTGTTCCGTTCACCTGCACTGCAAGCCCCCACCCCCTTATATGTTATTTGGCTTACCCTGGGACATCCGTTTTGAAACCGCATCCTCGTGATCAAGATGTAAAAATGAGCTTCACCGCCCTCCTTTACATGTTATGGGAAAATGCTTGACTGAACATGATAAGCCTTCAATTCCTTAGAAAAACGTAAACAAATCAATAAATCGATGGAAGGACCCAACGGATCGCCGCAAAAAGTAGCCTATCATCTGCGCAGGGGTCGAAAACATATGTGTGCAAAGTTTCAACTGAATCGGTTGAGCGGCGCGCGTTTCTATAACGCACATACCCTCCAAACTGACAATTTTTGAGTTTTATATATATATATATAGATGATCGCCCGCTTTCAAAACGGGAGATTGATGCATATCACCCCTGGTGGACTTTCTGGTCGTGTCAATCACGTGAGTCCCTACTGGAATGAAACTGACCTTAAGCCCGACGAGAGGTTTCAACACGCTATAGATCTTGTTGGAGGTTAGTCTGGGTGAACCGCAGTCAAGGTGTTGGCTGTTTGACATCACCCATGCTGTGTTTCACCTTTGATTGCATGTTTCTCGCGCAACTGCGTTTGTGCGGTGAGAGTGCGTCGCGGAATGTCTTGAGTCAGCACGGTAACGCAGGTCATGCTATCATCATTTATAGCGCAACTTTGAGATCACGCTAGATTAGGCGATTTTACAATGCTGGTTGAGGAGCTTTCTAATCTCTGCGGCATTGACGGATGCATATTTGTGCACGTGACAGGTACATCTGAAATTTCTCATATTTTTGCCAATTTCTTCATTTTGTGGTATTTAGGGTTTATCGGAGGTAACAAGGCATTCGAAGGAGCTCTAGCTATGGCAAAGAAGGCGCTCGAAATTGGAGATGCGGAGGTTTGTGTTAACGTTGCATTTAAAGGCAGTGTCCCACCAGACTGGGGATATCTGGCTCTCGTAATGATGTGATAGTAGACACCCTGCCTAAGCGATGACTGAAGTTCGGAGCGAAAAAGGGGGTCTACCAAGCCTGAAATTTGCTCCGAAAGTGGGCCGAATCTTACGGTAGGGCCGAACGCCGCCCACTCGGCAATATCGATTTGCAGGGCCAGAGTGCGTATAGCGCACACATCATGAGCGCAGGGACCCGCAACGGCTCTGCGTCTCTACCTTGCATGCACCTCGAGCCTACCGTAAGATTCGGCCCACTTTCGGAACAAATTTCAGGCTTGGTAGACCCCCTTTTTCGCTCCGAACTTCAGTCATCGCTTAGGTAGGGGGTCTACTATTACATCATTACGAGAGCCAGGTACCCCCAGTCTGGTGGGACGCTGCCTTTAAGTAATGGAGTGCAAGAGCATCGTGCTTTTGCTGGCCCAACAACTTTGGAAGTATCAGAATGAGAATTTTTTCTTCTGGATGATATCCCGAGTGATTTGGATACAGGGATCGGTTCATAATATTGATTGAGTTGATTGTTTTGAGTCAAGATAATGATAAATGTTTCAGCTAGCAGCAAGATCTGAAAATGAACAGGAGATAAAGAAAATGAAACTGGACAATGAACAAGCAGTGAGCAGTACTGAACAAGCAGTAAGCAGTACCGTGGATCCTGCTCATTAGGATAGTTTCTGATAGAGAACAGAAATCTTTCAACTCTTCCCTTGTCTTTACCTCATCACAGCTGCTCATTTTTCTTCCCACCGTCGTGGTATCTGTATAGTATTTCTTGTTTACTAAGTATCGGTCATGCCATAGGACGCTCTCGTGGTCGAAATATTGTTCAAGTTGCTCTTGCTATATTCTCTAACTGTGATTCTCTGTAAAATATGGTGATTTCGTTTATCACGTCGTATAACTACTTGTCGAGTTCTAATTTTAACTGTGTTTACCAAAAACTTCCGCCCAAATTCTTGATTATGCTAACTTTTTCTTCGATTATGAGTAAACTATTAATCGGGTGTTTGCAAACTTGGGTCGCGTGAACTCCTAGGGGGGGGGCCCTATTCGGCTAATTTGGGTGGGGTTTAGAGACAAAATTGGGGTTTGGAGCTTAAAGGCAGCGTCCAGGCAAGTCTGGACCTATGGGGATTTTACATGGAAAGTACTTTTGGGGCCCTAACTAAGTCACTACCCAACCGGCAGCTCAGGTAGTGCTGTAACGCCTGAGATATTCTGCTCGAAACTGAACCCAGCGACCGTGTTTCGCATGGATTCATGGCGCAAAGCGTGGATCGTGGCGCGAAACTGCCATGAATCCATGCGAATACGTTCGCGGGGGTCTGTTTCGAGGGGAATATCTTCGCCATTAGAGCACTACATGAGCTGCTGCTTCGGCAGTGCCTTAGTTATAGCCCCAAAAGTACTTTCCATGTGAAAACCCCATAGGTCCAGATCTGCCTGGAAGCTGCCTTTAATTAGGGCTAATTACAGTATGCCGCGGCAAACTTGCGGAGCACAAAATTGGGAGGTTCCGGCGCACAAAATCGGGGGGCTTCGGAGCAGAAAATGGGAGGTATCCGGAGCAGAAAATGGGAGGTATCCGGAGCAGAAAATGGGAGGTCTCCGGAGCAGAAAATGGGAGGTATCCGGAGCAGAAATGGGAGGTCTCCGGAGCAGAAATGGGAGGGCTCCGCCGGACAAATGGGAGACCCACCGCTGGGGAAACGCCGCGACCCTGCCATTTCTCCGGCGGAGGGGTCCTATCCGTTGCCTGAGTTGATGTCTCTCTCCCTTAATGTCAAGCCTATCCTGTGCTTCGTGAATACGAGTATACTTTCTGGGGTAAAACTTACTTTTAATGGTACCGTTCATCCTCAGGGTTGTTGATGAATACGGCCAGTGGAGGTCGTATGGCAGAGTCAAAAAAGGGGGCTAGTAGTTAAGTGATTTTGTTAACGACGATAACATTCTCTTCGTAACAGTTTGTCACGTCAGATAGCCCCATTATGCGAAATACGAGCACATGCAACATTGATTGTCATCGTGTACCTACTATCATGACTTATGATAAGCCGTTTAAATGAAGCTGTGTGGAGATTTGTCCGTTACAAATTACAGTGAGGAATGATTTTACAGTACTTTAATCATGGGATTTCCTAGCGAGGGTGGTTCATTCAAAACTAATGATTACTCGCTTCAGACAACTTTAAAACAAAGTGAGAAACAAGCTATCAGAGCGTAAGGTTTACTCACACTTTCCTCGATGACCATATGAGCCTCTGCAAGGCAGAGATTAGGTACTGGTAGCATAAAAAGGTCCTACCGAGCATAACGAGTAATTCCACAATTAGCGTGTCATATAATCTCTGTGGACCAAGTTTGAGTGACTTCTGGAATGATATCCACGAAAGTCCCCGCGAAATGGGCTTTTCGTGCGAATAAAATGGACTTAGTCCATGCGGTGCGATAAGATATCGCATTCACGAATACATTCACTCCATACAAAAATGCTTCAACTAACCTTTCTCCAACTTGTCTCAACCTGTTTGCTCACTCTTGCAAACTCATTTCCACCATGTGGTCGGTATTTAACTAGGCTGACCTAACATTACAATGTCACTCAAGTGGCATTCTATTCTTTCCCACTTCGTTACACCTCACAGAATGCCATTCATTATCGATACTATGCATCTAAATCACTTCCAAGACTAAAGTTCGTGTAATATCCGGGCCTTCGCTTCAAAACTTCTACGAATCAGCATTAAATCGAATTCGTATGTGGAGATTTCTGCAAAAAAGCAAACTTTGGCTGGGGTTGCACTGCAATCTGTGAACCAAAATGCTTTTTACAAGAAACCTTGTACTACACTACAACTCAAAGGATTTTTCAAGTCGCAAAAACTTTGAATCCCAAAAGGTGACTTCGCAAGTGCTCTATATTAGCTTTGCTTTGTCTTTCAGCACTAATATTTATAACTCTAAGCAGTTGAATGTATGGACTAATCTAGTAAGAAATTTTTCACAGAATCTCTCTAGCTAGCTAGCGGCACTTCAGTAATTCTTGCGGACCAAACTCAAAATTGCGTTTAAAATGCCGTCTCTGAGGTTCGGTTCTACGAAATTAGCCAAAGATAGCTTCTAAATAATTACATTGAAGTACAATTTTTTTCAAATTTTAGATTACAAATCATGACTTTGGTCTTGGTTGATGATTTGAAGAGTTAACAAACTTTATTTGATTTACATAAAAATTTTCTGATTGACCTGATATTAAGAAGCATTTGGGTTTGTTAGCGAATATTTGGGCGAATTTGATTTTTTTTTCTATGTTTTTATAGCGTTTCTATGAGTTTAGAAAGAAACACTTATTTCAGACTTCATAAAAGACATGAAACTTTCTCCACTCACATATTACCTTAAAATAGGTCAAGGAACACATTCTCAAAAAATCGCAATCAAAAATATGCAAAAAGGTCAAAAATGGACTTAGTCCCAGCTCACCTTGCTGCTGGGAGTAAAATGGGCTTTCAAGTCCATTTAAAATGGAGGTAAATCCCATTTTGCCCCATTCTAAATGGACTTTTGACGTCATCATTTCGCTAGCGAGAGCTCAGGTAGGGTTAAATCATTTTCATTTCACCGCTTTGCCTCGTGGTTGCGATGGGATGAGAATTTTTGGATAACGCGAGCGAAAGCAGATTCCGACCACTCTTCACCGCGAACGAATAAAATGGGGCTTGAAAGTCCATTTTCCTCCATTATGGACTTTCGTGGATATCATTCCTGATTTTCCAGTTACTGAACCACCTGAGTGATGGTCAGGTTTTGCCTTGTTTTGATGAATTAACTACCTCTTTTCACACTCAAAGGTAGCGTCCAGGCAAATTTGGACGTGTGGGAATCTCACGTGAATTTTGAGGCCTAAACTAAGCCACTGCCCAACGGGCAGCTCAGGATGCTGTGACAGCTGAGTTATTTCCCTCGAAACTGGACCCCCGTATCACTTCGATCCTGGAATCCAGTTACTTTGGGGATTTTTGATGGCGCAACCCATGCAAAATACGATCGTGGAGATCAGTTTGGAAGCGTATATTTCAGCCGTTAGTGAGTAGTCACCTGCGCTGCCGCTTGGGCAGTGTCTTAGTAAGGGCCCTAAAATTACTTTCCATGTAAAGTTCCTGTAGGTCCAGATTTTCCAGAACGCTTTAATACAGTGCACTGCTCTTTGTTCGCCGACCTCAGAAATCCCGCTACATAAAATCGCCAAAAGGCGGAACTAGGAAAGAAGCTTCGTTTGTTCCATTTTCTCTATTTTTCCTTTCAATGGCTGTGCTTTCACCGAGTACTAGTCAGAGCAAAAGACAAATCAGACCATCATTCCTATGAACACCGCGAGTTTAGGATCTTGTATTGATTCCTGTTGAACTATTTACTAAAAATGTTTTTGTGAAATATTTAATGGGAATTGGCACAACAATCTCAAAAAATGTGACAGTCACAGTTTTTTGGGGGTTGTGCTACACCTCATTAATTTACCAACAAAATTGAATAAAATATACACAGTGTGATAGCTTGATTCAGGGTTCGGCACGAGGTGGGCAAACGGGGTTTCCAAAACCAATTCCCTTTTGATCCCAATATTTTTACGAATACTCCTCGGAGCCCAAAAACTATGCTTTGTGCTTGTGCAACGAGAGCACCGGCCACACTTCGCCTAAAAGCGCTCAAAAGCGCCCAAAACGCTCAAATTCCTCTGGTTACTGCTCATCTGTATCAAGATGAAAAACATTAATAAGAATAAGCAAGAAAAATGATGAGAAAATGAAGAAATAGCAAAGTAACGCAGTCATAGGACTAAGAGACGCCGTTTTCGCGCGTAATTGACTGGGGCCGCTTTCCATCTTAGGGCCGCTGCACTAACACCCCGCGGGGAGCGGAGCGCAGCTTAAAAGAAAGCTTTATATTTCGAAACTCCAGATACCTGATTTCACGTTGTGTACCTATCCGTAAGTATTCCTACTATACTTCACTATGAACATGTTGAAGAGGAGCGAGAAGCTTTATGAACCGCATTTTCTAGCTTTAGTATGATCCCTGATGATCCCCGGCGCTTTTCTTTAAAGTCATTTTTCTTTCTCTGAAGTTAACGAATAACCTCCAAAGTTGTGCAGATTATCTAACCCAACAGTGCTAAGCATGTTGCTGATAAGAACAAATGATGTTTTGAAGTCATGAAATTTTCGATGATCCACAGGTCGAAATTTGAGGTTTAGCGAAAAATTCGACTTTTCAAAAACTCATTTGTTCTCATCAGCAACATGCTTAGCACTGTTGTATTAGATGTTCAGTACAACTTTGGAAGGTTTTCGTTAACTTCGGAGAAAGAAAAATGACTTTAAAGGAAAGCGCCGGGGATCATCAGGGATCATACAAAAGCTGGAAATTGCGGTTTGTACAGCTTCTCGCTCCTGTTGAACATGTTCATAGTGAAGGGTAGTAGGAATACTTACGGATAGGTACACAACATGAAATCCAGATATCTGGAGCTTCAGAATATGAAGCTTTCTTTTAAGCTGCGATCCCCTCCCCAGCGGGGAGGTTGGTGCATGCGGCCCGGCTTCACGTGACGTGTGGGCCTAGCACGGAAGTTTCCATTTTTTCCTATCTTTCGCTTTAGAAAT